TTGGTACCATACATTTCATTTTAATTAAATTGAGACCGATCTTTTTTCATTTTTCCTTTTTTCTTTTTTTTTAGAAAAAAAGAGATCCCATCAATATAAATTATGATAATATGTTTTATTTCACGTAAGTTGCTTAAATCAAAATCCTATCACAATTTATGTCGTTTTACCTATCATTTATACATCCTACCAGAGGCGGAACCATGAATTTTGCGTTGGAGGCCGAGATTTTTTTGGGGGTTCAGTGGTAGTTGTTCGACTTTTTTTTAAGAAATATTTACATAAAAGACAAAATAAATGTATTTTTGTACTATTTATTTAAAATAATACAAATTAAAATATTGTGTATTCAAAACATATCTTCAATAGAGATTTTAATTCAATATTAGAAAATCTAAGTGGATTAAGGCCTCGTTTTGTTGGGAAGATTAATCATTATTAATTAAATAAGTGGATTTTGTTTGATATTTGGCATTTTCAATAACTTGTCGAGTCGACCCGCAAATTTTATGTTATCATGGTTTATCTTGCATTTTGGAAAGTTTTTCTGTTGGACTTTCTGATGTACGATAAAATAATTGGATTTTTCTTAGATTATTTAGGTGGTGTTTGTAAATGCTTTTTGAAAGTGATTATGCGGTTTTTTTTTGCTCATAATCTGTTTTTAGGTGTTTGCAAAATCAACTTTTGCTTTTGCTTCTCTTAAAATAATCTGCTTTAAGCTATTTTTTTAAAAGCACCCTTAACCCTGCTTTTTCAATTTAGTTCATTTTCGAAATATTTGCAAACACCCCAACTTTTAAAATAGCACTTAAAACTAACTTAAATCACATCACTAACTTCTGCTTTTAAATAATCATTTGCAAACCCACCTTAATCTTATCTTGATTGATTCTATCTTAGTTAAACTTGAGGCCTAAGTAAATGAGTATTATTGCTTAAAATAATAAATGTTTGAGAATAACTGAAAATTTGATAGATCGAGAATCTAAAGTAGTGAAAAATTGCAATTTAATAACAGACATTATTTTTTTTTCTTCTTTTTATATATATTTGTTTTTATCTATTATGATCTGGAATTGGTAAAGATTAGAATTTTAAATTTTAGTGAAATTTGTAGAATCGATTTTAATAAAAAATTATTTAAAAAGAAAACGTAAATTTAGTTTTTAGATAGTGCCGATACATAAAGTATAGAAAATATATACATTATGCTCTATCTTGAACTAAACTTAAACATAAATTTTCAATCAAGAGTTATGAAATTGAATTGACAAATATAAATGATTGTGAATCAAAAATATTAAATTAAAATTATATGTTAGAATGAATGATAATGAATTGTGGATCATATGCTTGTATGAATGTATACTTACAAAATGTCACGAGTTGTGCAAATGGACAAGGAACCATGATTTTGTGTCTTGTTTGTGTAGCCAACAATTTAGAGCCTCACAAGGGCAATAAGACAGACAAATTACCACTTTTTCTAATTAATGAGGCGGCAGGCAAACAAGGCTTTTTCCTTTTTTTCTTTTTCTTTCTTTTGGCTTAATCTCATTTTGCACCCTTAAAATATACTATTTTGACACTTTGCACCCTCAAAATAAATTAATAGCACTTTGCACCCTCAACACAATATATCTTGCATAATGCACCCCACATGAGATTTTAAAGTTGATGAAAGTATTTAATATATTGGGATTATTTTACGGACCCACTCATTTCCAAATTATATAGAACTAACTACCAAGCGGATTACACTCTAGGGGAAACCCCTCTCATTTCGAAAATATTTTTGACATACCCCCTCGGCCACCCTGAAGTACCTATAAAGCCCATTTAAAATCAATTTTAAACCCTAGTCACTCACAATCGTCTCTCTTCCTCTCCCAGATTCAAATCCCGCCTCCATATATCTCCAACCGGCGAAGTTGCTTCATGAAGTCATAACTCTCTATATCCGGTGGTCGGAATTCGATGGTTTAACTACCGTTAGATTCCTCTCGTCGAACTCTTTCTTTTGGTGGTGATTTCATTCAGTTTCGAGCACTCGGTATGTTTCTGCAATTGTTTTTCAGCCGATGTATATTTCGAAGACGGTGGGTCTTGCCGGATGTGTATTTTGTGTTCCGGCAATCGGAATATAACGGGCTACCCGTTGAATTCCTCTCGTCAAGATCTATATTTTGATGGTAATTTTGTTCATTTTTATATTGTCAGATTTATTTTTACAATTTTTTTCATTTGTGAGCCGGAACTTTGGGTGGTTACTAGCGGCGGCTAGGGTTTTGGTAGGAGGCGATTGGGGTGAGAAGTCACTCGCTGTTTCGTTTAAAATTCGTAACATTTCCCAGCTATAGCCTCTCTCTCTATCTCTCGATCTCTTAATGTTTGTTGATTTTTGCAGCTTAATGAAAGTCATTGATCATCTCCTTGAAGGTGTCAAAATTTTGGTTGAAGTCACTAGCCAAAATGTCGACTGCGA